GAATGCCTCTCCAGTTTAGGATTAGAGCAGCACCAATTTAAGGCTCACAGCTTTCTGTAGAGAGCATAATCTCCGATGGCTAAAGCAAGGGTCATCCTGTGTCCTCTGCCTAAAGTAATCCCTTTATAAAGTCAAGGCATAAAGATTTTCCTCTTTTTGCGTTGCTGTTAGAGGGAAACAGTACCTGTGTACATATCTCTGTGTGTTTATGGATATATAACCAGGAATGTTGGCTGAGAGATTTTTGGACCAGTTGGAATTCAAAAGATGCAAAACATTGTTTGAAAAAAGAACACTGCAGATGGTATTTCATAAATATTTAGACACTCTAACTTCTGTTTGTAGCAATTTGGAGGTTTTGTTTTGTCTTCTTTTATATATATGTTCAAATGTGAGACTTGAACCTTTGCTTCAAGTCAGTGCCTTACTCTGAGGTTTAGTTTTTGTCTGGCAAGCTGTGTGTGTTGGCAGTCAACCGAGGGTCTGCTTCTCTTGTTCCCCCTGGCCTCAGTCTGAAGGGGGCAAAGGAGAGAGAAGAGGGAGGAGGGGGCACAGCCCCGCGGAGGCCCCAGCCGAGACCCTGATCCCTGGGCTTGGAGCTGGGCGATGCCTGAACGGGTGATGGAAACCTGGGAAGGGAGGTGGGGAGCATCAGGAAGAGAAACCACCTGGGCTCTCACCTGGGTCTGGGGAAGCCCCTGCACGTTGGGAAAAATATAGGGATTACTAGGAATTACCTCTGCCTCACAAGATGCAGCAGCAGTGCTCATGCATCACCCCCAGGGTTGTTGTTCCCAGTCTAGGGTCGGTGTTTTCCGTCCAGGTGGTTTTGCAGTGCCGCAGCAACCCCGGTGTCTGCAGGCACAGACTGAGCAGCCAGCTCTGGGGAAGCGATGGGGGCAGCGAGTGCTGTGTGTTTCCTTTCCCAAACATGCGGTGTGCTCCTGCGCACGGGTCACTCGATGGCGTGAGTGGAGCTCCACGTTAGCTGTTTGTGGCACGAATCTATTATTTCCATAATTCTTACTGAAATTATTTGAGGAATGGTTTTTGTTCCTTCTACTGGGATTTGGATGGGGAAAGAGAGGCTTTCTAACCTTTCACCAGAGACCCAATCGCTGCGGAAGGCTTATGAATTTCACTTGAGGGTGATGGGCATTACCAGTCCTGTTGTGCCATTGCTTAACCTCTATATAATGGATTGTCTTTTAGGTGTTTATGCTCATGTACATAGGCAGTGTACCTCTAGACGGCTGGTACAAAATATCTAAATACATAACAGATGCACAATGGCACTATAGACTGGATGTATTATGGCCCCAAACCATTATCACACCCCTCACAGTTGCATTTTATTTTTTTCACCTGCTCCTGTGTAGTACACCTGTGATTTGTTGGCAGTGAATGTCGTTGCGGCATGGGAGACTCTCAGCTTGACTGCCTGGCTTGGAGCTTTGCTCCATCATGTGCTGCTTTTTTTGTGTGTGTGTATTTTTTTCTCTCAATCTGTATATAGCTTGTAAGAGTTCTCTGAACTGCTGAAAGTGATCATCTTTCAATCCTGATGCTTTCCTTCTTGACACAGAGCTCTGAAAATGGAGATTGTCATGCCAGTGTTTTCATAATAATGCATGTAGAAAAACAGAGAAATATTCATTGTAGATGTCCTGTGCAAATGGCTTGATCCGCATCCAGAGGGCAGGCAGAGGGGGATCCCCAGGGAAGATCTGGAGAGCAATCAGTATCTACACGGACAATAATCAACCATACTTAGAAATCTTTATTTTCTGCAAAACCCGTCACCCAGTTCCTTGGGCCCAGACACTTCCACAAATGGTTCATTTGGGGATTGTGCAGCCGGTAGAAAATTCCACTTAAACACTGTGACAGCCCCAAGGCTTGGGGCAGTTGCTTTTTCCCACTGATGTGGCTAACGGAATTGCTATCCATTTTGCATGATTATGAAGAAAGAAAAGAAAAGAAGAAATTTTCCAACCTTGTCCTATAAATAAGCTGTGACTTACTTGATGTTGACAGGTGACTTAGCGCTGCTATAGAGTTTTCCAGCTGCAATAATGTCTCAGAATGATGTATTCAGTGGGGTATCAGCTGTGAGCCATGTGTAAACCAGGGGGCCTAACAGGAGCTGCGAAGAGCCATTTTTACTGTTCAGCTTCCAAATTATGTCCTGCCTCCTGCGGGCCCCCAGATGCATATGTGTATGGATGGCCTTGTGAGCAGGTAGGCATGTGCAAACACACACAAAAGCATGACTGGAGAGGCTTAATTTTTGTGGCTGCGCTGTTTTCCTTTGGAAATCATTTTTAAGATTTTTTTTGTTTTTTTTAAAACCAGAACTTCTAGAGTTGAAAAATCACACCCAGGCTGTTTCCTGCCAGCTTGTCAGGAAGGTGGGTGAAGTTTCCTTAGGCTGCTTGACTAGAAGCATTCTTGTAGTGTGCGTACATTCCCAAAATGTTAAGATGAAATCCAGATTTGCATATGAAAAATGTATTTTTTTTTAACTGTTAGCCCTATGGCACAGCTAGTTTCTCAGCTTCTATGTGACCCAGCTCTGAATGGCTGCAGGATTTGAGTATAATCTGTTTCTTTGCGTAAACTCTGCTCACAAACCCACTATACTCGTTGCATTAGGATCGTTCAGAACATATTATTAACCCGTATTTGAGGAGGGAGGGCTCACAGTGAAAGCTTCATTATCAGATTTAGAGCCACATACCATTCCTTTATTGACCTGCCTGGTGTAATCAATGCAGCAGCCACACAAGTTTGAAATCCTGCTCCCTGACTGTAGACTGTGCGTCACGCATCTAGTGCTGATTGTGCATTATCTTTTAAATGACACTGCCTAAATAAGTATGGATTTGTCTACCACAAATAGCCCTTTCTATTTGAACGTCGTAAACCTTTTGCATTTCTTATTGATATTCACAAGGACCTAAAAATAGAACTGCAATGAAGTGCACAAGAAATGGCCGTTGTTAAATTTCTGAGGAGTGTGTGTGAGCACTGAACAGCCTGGGTGCTCTTTCACATTTTCATGCTTTCCCAGTTAGGTTCAGCGGACAAGCTGCTTGTCAGTGCTACTACCATTGTGTTTGTAGGGCTCCATCCATCCGTCCTCTTCCATAAAGTCATTATTTGACTTGAGAATAACATCCAGCCT